GTATTGTTTCACTGCTGACAATCTCATAGTCATAGAGCTCAATTGACTAATATCGAGGCCACTGTATTGTTTCACTGCTGACAATCTCATGGTCAAAGAACTCAATTGACTAATATCTGCTGTGTCGTTTCACGGCTGACAAGTCAACCGCGGCAGGGGCCGGGCAGGGTCTGCGAGGCTTGGCGCCCCACTCGCTAGCATAAATTTCGCAGCGAACTTTCCAATTTCGAACTTCGACGGCACGATACTTTCGCACCGGACACCACAATGGCAGCCACGACCGTCCCGACGCAAGACAGCATCCTCGTCCCCGAGACGCTGCTGAAGAAGCGCAAGTCGCACGAGAGGGCTCGTGAGGAGCGCGCGATTGCGACAAAGGAGAAGCGAGGTACGCGGCACCAGTTGCCATGAACGAACACGAGGAGCAGGCGGTCGCGATGATTCTAACTACCAACACATCGGCTAGCCTACGGGCAATGTTGCTGTCGTTAACCATCTTTCGGGAATGATGCGATCGCCCCTCGTCGAGTTCATGGCAAAGCTTGTCACCCGAGCAAAAGCTGACCATGCATAGACAAGAGCAAGAAGAAGCGCGAGGTCATCTTCCAGCGTGCTGAGAAGTACGTCAAGGAGTACCGCGATGCCGACCGCGAGAAGATCCGCATGAAGCGCGAGGCCAAGAAGCAGAACGAGCTCTACGTGCCTGCGGAGAATAAGCTGGCTTTCGTCGTCCGCATCAAGGGTATCAACAAGATCGATCCCAAGAAGCGCAAGACTCTGCAGCTCCTCCGCCTGCTGCAGATCAACAACGGAGTCTTCATCAAGCTCACCAAGGCCACCTTGGAGATGCTGAAGATTGTCGAGCCCTTTGTTGCGTATGGTTACCCCAACCAGAAGTCCGTCCGCGAACTCATCTACAGTAAGCCAACTCACCTAAGCCCTTCACACGAGCCCCACTGACTGGTCCTGCAGAGCGTGGATACGGAAAGGTTGACAAGCAGCGCCTGCCGCTGACTGACAACGAGATCATCGAGAAGAGCCTCGAAAAGTACGGCATCATCTGTATGGAGGACCTCATCCACGAGATCTACACCGTCGGCCCCAACTTCAAGCAGGCCTCGAACTTCCTGTGGCCGTTCAAGCTGAACAGCCCTAACGGCGGCTTCCACAAGAGGAAGTTCAAGCATTTCGTCGAGGGCGGTGATCTGGGCAACCGGGAAGACCACATCAACGAGTTGATCAGGCAGATGAACTAGGTACGATATGTAAGGGCGTTTGTGTAGAGCTGAGCTTGTGTTTCATGCCAGCAGCAACTGGTTTGGTCGGATATACCACGGGGTCATGCATTGCAGCGGCGTTTGGGAATGGGATGGGCCCTGGCACGGGCCGGAAAGGTCGCCAGAACGACTTCACGAAGTTCACGTGCAGAGAAGCATGTACAAATTTAGCACTTCCGGTTTCGCATGCCTCATGGGGCACCGAAACACGACACTCATTTTTGGACTGGCGGAGTCAATTCTGCATGCGTGCGACTCGAGTAGTGACATGCTCCCACATTGCAGCACCTGCGCGACGTTCCTCGACGGAGGTAGACCACCCGTGGTCCCTTGCGCGGTATGCCAGGCACCGAAATATTCGCAACGGTCGTCGTCATGGCAGGCCGGAATGTGACATGTCAAAACGCAGCACACTTCATCAGCCGGACACGAGGGCCTGTTGCCTGCCGCAGAATCTGGTCAAGGCTGCGAGCCATGACTGGTGATGTTTGACATTGAGCTCAACACCAATACTTGCATCGCCACCAGTCTAGCTGACAGGCCGAGCGCTTGGCTGTGGAGGTTGACGCAAGTGGCAGGTTCAACCGGACACCAAAGTCACTATTTTCTCTCAGGTGGGCGCATGATTACGGAGTGTCGCGGGCGACGTGCGTCCGAGGGGCTGGGATTGCCACTCTTCGACTCACGAGGTGACGATGCGTTCTGCTCGTGTGGGATGCACGCCAGTAGTGCGAGATGGAAGCCTGCGGATGGGCGCGGTGTATGACGCCCACCAACGTCGACCTGCTTGCCGCCATCGCTGAGCTGCGCGCAAGCGGCTGCACTGAAGTTTGAATTTGGGTCGATTTGCAGAAGCCAGGCTGATCGGGGACCCTCATCCCTCATCATCAGCGCTGCACGCTGTCGGCGCCGGTCGTGATCGTGACCCCCGCCCGGTGGAGTCACGAAGGCCAGCAAGGCCTGATGCCCTCGATCCCTTGGGCCAGAATGCCGTGGGATCCATTTGGCTCTCAATCCGACATGGTCGACCGCGGCCTACGGCCGAAAACGGAACAACGTCGCTGCCCATGCGCCCACGAGCTGCACGCATGTCTGGCACAATTTTTCACGCGGGCGCGAGAGGCGGGCGCGCGCCTCCAGAGTCCCAACGTGAGACTCGAGCCGAGCCTGTCACGATTGCAATATGTTTTTCGTCTGCACGGACCGGCTCTATCCATGGAGGCTGGGCCGAGCACGGGGCAGGGCGACTCGAATCGAAGGGAGTTGCACGCCGGCGCAGATGAGACTTGCAATTGCTGGCGGGGCGGTGCGTGCCTGTCAGCCGGCTGCTGCATGCCTTGGCCTGTTTGGGGGGGCCAGTGAGAAGGATGGGGACGGCAGCCGGTTTGCACGGAGAGGAGGCGACAAGAGCAGCCAGCCCACCCTCGCTGATACGTGGCTCGCCCCAAGGGTCATCAGATGGTACCCTTGAACCGTTCATTGGACTGCGTCTCGGGCGTGCAAGAGGGTGCAGCAATTTGTGCCTGGCGACGCAGCCAGTGCAGCGACGCTCAGCGCAGCGCAGAGTCATGGCGGGCTCTCGACGGGACGTGACTGGTCGCCCGGCGCGCTTTTCGACCTGGCCTGGGTTGTGCCGGGCTAGACTGTGTGTGGCCGAGTTTTCACCTTGTGCACGGCAGATGAGTGGACAGCGAACGAACGATTATTAGTTTATTACGCAGACGCGACGGGCCTGTGCTGGGCCTGCGAGGGCTTGCGGGCTTGGAGGAACGGGCTCGTCGACGGCCCCTTCGCTAAACGGCCACGGCCGGGCAACCAGAGCACATTGCCAACGAGCCCTGTCGCTCCCTTCTCTTCACCTCTCCACCTCTCCCATCCTCACCCTCCCAAACCTTTCCGGTTGCAGGCGCTGCTCGTAGCGACTCTCGCCGCTGAGCCATTTGCTGTTTCGAACGGCCGGGCTGACTTGACGGTCCCTCTGCAGCAAGCGCACGCTCGGGCACCCCTACACGCCTCCGGAATCACGGACCTACGGCTCTCCAGCTGTAGTGCATCACCTTTGCCTGGTGACTGCACCCTCCGCCGCCGCCGACACCGCGTCTCTCGCAAACATCCACGGCTGTGCTGTGCCCACGCTGGTGTTTGCCTGCTCTTCCCGCTCTTCATTGGCACCGAACGCTGCACCGTCGTTCGCTGGTCCCCAACCAAGTTTTCTCCGAGCCCTGTCGACTTGGTTGCAACTTGTTCTCCACGACCACCGTGCGCATCGTTTTTTCAGCTCGGGTTTTGGACTGCATTGCATCTGAGTTTCGGTTCTGAGCGTTGCTCTTCCCTTCTTCCGCCTTTTCAGGTCGCGCCTTCCCAGAGGTCCTAGCCACGGTTCCTCACCGGCACTCCCCAAAGACCTCTACATCACCGCGGCGATCTATTTACTTAGACCTCGCCCTCTTCGCGTTTCAGCACTCACACACGCGCTCTGACTGTCCTAGCCCGCACAAATTGCGTCGACTATTTGGTCCCTGCTGCGATACCGCTTGCCGATCGCACACCGGCTCACACTCGACGTCGACCACGGTTGTCTGGCTGAGACATTATTCCTAGTACCTCTCGACGTTTGTCTTGATTGTTCCACTGCGAATCCATACATCATTTGCGACAACTCTCCTTAGTGCATGACCGGAGTATTCTAGAGCACCGTTCACGCTCACAAAAGAGCTCGCGCTCACCACCCTACGACGGCATCAAACGAAGGAACTGTACGTCACACGACGGCATTGAACGAAGGAACTGTACGTCACACAGCGAGAGCGAACACGACCTTGCTGGCGAACGAGACTGATCGATCACGCAGGTCGTCGCCAGTCCTTCGTTCTCCACCACACCTCCACGCCAACATGCCGTCCTTCTACCCCAGGCACCATATGTCTCGCCAGTCGTACACGCCACCAGAGTTCGTGCCCAGCTACCACTCCTCCTGCGGAGGCATGCCCTACCAGCACAACGCCTACTCTGGTCAGTCGACGACGCGCCAGCAGGACGACTACGACTACGCCGATCGCTACAGTCAGCTCGCCATGGCCATGCCTCCCATGTACCCGCAAGCCGGCACATATATGGCTCCTCCCAGCATCCCTCCACCAAGCTCGTTTTACGATGCCGGCAACACCCTGCCGCCGATGCGCACCCACGAGCAGGCCATGCAGCAGCAGCGTGCACAAGAATACAACCAGCGCGCCCAGCAACCTGCGAAGGAGGAGAAACCCGTCGGAGGTGTGTCAGCGAAGCTGGACTACGATATGGATGTGATGACTGACTTTGTCCGCGACATGGCATTGCAGCTCATCACTCCCGGACGCATGGAGCCCACCTCCTTCCGCAAGTGGGTGTACCAAGTCCTGTGCGCCACAAGACTGCCGTCTGCCACCATCGTTCTTAGCATGTCATATCTGTCCACCAGGATGCCGATGCTCGGCCACGAGCCCAAGACCGACACCCACCTCTACCGCCTTCTCACCATTGCGCTGGTGCTCGGCAGCAAGTTCCTCGATGACAACACGTTCATCAACCGCTCTTGGTCGGAGGTCAGTGGCATCAGGGTCGACGAGTTGAACAGGCTGGAGATGGAATGGCTCAACGCTATCGACTACAAGCTTCACCGCGAGACCACCGAGCACCAGGGCTGGAACACTTGGTCAGAGACCTGGAAGGAGTACCAGACTCACGCCAGCCGAAGCAACAAGCTGAGCCCCATTGACACCGCGGTGCACCGCCGCTCATACAACGCCAACAAGCCGCTGCCCGCCCTGCCTATGCAGCAGGCCTACCAGCCGCCTGCGTACGAGCCTACGCCCAAGTCTGCCATGTCTTCCTACAGCTACAGCGGTTACGCTCAGTACGACCCATGGAGGTCGTCCGACCACTCTCCCGCATCCGCGCCAACCACAGGACCCACCACCCCGGAGTACTATGGTGCGACAGGACCCTGGGCCCCCGCTGAGGGCTACTCGCGTCGCACCATGTTCGGCTTCCCTCCCCTGTCTCAGCCAGCCCACCAGCACCACCAGCAGCCGACCAACTACGGCCCGCCTGCCTACCAGTCGCAGTACAACGCGTCTGCCTGGAACCAGCACGGTGTGAACTGTGGCTGCATGTACTGCGCGCAGAGGCACCAGCCCTACTTCATGGCCTCTGGCTTTGGTCCTCAGGCTATCGCAGCCTAAGTGATGCACCATTACGACGCCTTCAATTCCTCCATTACATATTCGACGCTCGACTTTAGCTCGACGACCTGTTTGTCCAAAAGTTCCTGTTCTCTTCCGCGCTGTTATTCGGTCTACCGTTTAGACCTCCCGGCCACCGGATATACGTTCGTCGCATCCACTCCGAGTCAACCGTCGACTCGCATGGCACTCAATTCTTGGCGCGCAGAGTTTTGCCCCCGCCACCTGCACGCATATCGGCGCCATCCCGGATCTAACGAAAACGCACGCACAAACTGCGATCACATTGCATGATAGATTTTCCATTTCTCGACCAAAGGTTTTCGTTCTTTTTTTTCTTTTCTCCTTTTCTCATGTTCTAGACATCGACTTGTTCTGGGTCTTGGGCGCACATGCAGCGAAATTGTGGGTTGGCGTTCTGTACTTTGGCCAGCGCGCCACAACGGTTTCTGGGTCGCTTGGCTACATGGCCGCTTCTAGCGCGATTCCTGCACAGCCTTTTCTTCACGATTGTCTTTCACACATGTTTACTTCGGAGGACACTTGTGCTTAATGGTTTCTTCTGCGAGGTTGGTTTTGGTAGCACAGCCTGCCACTCCTCGCTGGCCTTCGACTTCGACCGTTCTCTGACAGGCTGCCTTGGCCTGCTGCACCGAGATGACGAAGGCCTTTCACGTTCCCGGTTACGAACTCTCGATCGTCGCCTTCCGAGCCGGGTTGTAATTAATGGCATCAGATCTTACGAAGGGCGTCCTTTCATTGCGCGGCGGAAAATACCTATTTCTTCAGGGCTCGAGATACCACACAGCATAGTTTCGGGCGACAGGCAAAGGCCTGTTTGGTGCATCACTGCGACAAAAGCAGAGTCCTGATAGTAACATCAAAATACGAAAAAAAGATATCGGAAAGCGGACGCCGCAGGAAAGAATATTTCAGCTTCGTTTCGCAGTGATTTGACTCGAACATGCAGTGATTTGTGACTGCGCAATCAGCCACGCTCGACTCTGCGTCAATCTACTGGGCCAAGACGCTGGCTGCTGGAGAGTGCGCAGAGTCATAAGTCGGCCTCTCGTCTCACCCAACTCGCGTCAGCACTCAAGACCACAGCCTTGATATGCAGCACCCTTGCCGAGCTCACGATGCAGCCTGAGGGCAGGCCCGCGGGCGCCGATGCGTTCGCGCCATGTCGGACAAAGAGACTGGCCGCTTCCGCGAACGAGGTCCAGGCGCATCGGCACTGCAGCCAATCACGAGCATGTATTATTCTCAGTCGGACGTCTTTCGTCCCTACGTCAACACTATCTCCGACAAGATGCGTTGTCTCCGCGACCGCGTTCTTGTGGGCGCGACCCATGCGGCGCACTATTCGACTTGCATCCTCCGCTTATTCAGTCCGTCTTGGGAGCTACGATTGAGTGCAGATACGCCTCCATGACGCTCCGGTCATTCAGGCGCTTCCTGAACACAAACACAAACGCGTACCACAGATATCATTCACGCAAGCAAACTCCTGGACCTTTCTGGCAGAGACCGCAGTTCAGCACCACGGTCAAGATGAGCTCGATTGGCGGTGCGGGGATTGGCGCGGGCTTGTATGCCGCGGTGGGCAATCCAGGGCAGGTCTTTTCTCAGCCTGAGGAAGCAGCCGCGAAGGCGCATCACTTAAGGAACGGCAAGGGGTTCACAAATCCGTGGGATAGTTATGGGGAGATGAGTGCGCTGTCAATCTTCTGGGGGATATTCTCGTACGTACTGAATCATGCCTTACCACGAGGGAAGAGTGGACACTGATTGTAAGACAGCCGCAGACTCACAGGCAAAGCAAACAAGCCGGATACCACACCTCCGACCGTACCGGTCCAAACTCCCAGTTTCCTTCCCACCCGCCAGACACCGAAGCTCAGAGCTACATGGCTCGGCCACGCATGCTACTACGTCGAGTTCCCCGGCGGGCTGCGTGTGCTCTTCGACCCTGTGTTCGAGGACTGCTGCGCGCCCATCAACATCAAGAGCCTGAAGCGCTTCACGCCACCGCCATGCGAGCTGGAGGATCTGCCTGCTGTGGACGTGGTCGTTATCAGTCATAACCACTACGACCACCTCAGCTACCCGACACTGCAACGCATTCAGAAGAAGTTCCCCGAGGCGCACTACTTCGCACCGCTGGGTAACAAAGCATGGTTCCACAAATGCGGCGTCGACAAGGTCACAGAACTCGACTGGTGGGAGAGCCGCTCCGTGACCCTCGAAGCCGTCGCAAGCTCCGCCAAAAGCGCCCGCACAGGCTCCGTTTCCGTCGCCGACGGAGCCGCGCAAGGCGGCATCAGCGCCACCATCTCCGCGCTGCCCTGCCAGCACGTCTCAGCACGCACGCCCTTTGACAAATGTAAAACGCTCTGGGCATCCTGGGCCGTCGAGTCCGGCGGCGCCAAAGTCTACTTCGCCGGCGACACGGGGTATCGCACCGTGCCTTTCCTGCCGGACGGCGTCGACGACTACGGCCCGGAGTTCGCACACCTCCCTGTCTGTCCTGCGTTCAAGCACATTGGCCTGCATCGCGGCCCGTTTGATCTCGGCCTCATCCCGATCGGCGCGTATCAGCCCCGTTGGCTGTTCAGCAACGTGCACGCTGACCCCAAGGATGCGGTTAATATCTTTGTCGACACGGGGTGTAGATCCGCGCTGGGCATGCATTGGGGCACGTGGGTGCTGACTGAGGAGGAAGTCATGGAGCCTCCACAGAAGCTGAGGGAGGCGCTTCGGTGGAAGGGTGTCCAGGAGGGGAGGTTTGGGGTTGTTGATATTGGCGAGAGTCGCGAGTTTGAGAGCGGGAAGTAGGGAGTGGGCGTCTTGTAATACTCTTCATGGCTAGGGGATGGTCTTGTTAGTTGAGTGTACCTCGTAGTCGTGTTCGTTCATGCATCATTGTGTCTAGCCTAATTCGGCAGCTGGACCTGGGAGTACGCATAATTTATATACTGTAGTATCGAGCTGTTTACCACACATTGCTAACACTTGTTAAGCTCTTTCAAACAAGATCGTCACCTAATAGGCATGGAGCAGGGGATACTTATTAGTTCATACCCCTGGGTCCGTATTGAGATATGAAGTACACGGTAACATGGTTAGCGTAGCGTTTCGTATCGTTGGCTGTCTGCTCATAGATCACAACAAGACCCGTTCCAACTTCACACGCTCACAAACCATCAACCACCACAGCACCCAGCTCTCATCCTACACCAGAATGACGTTCCTGGCCTCCGTCACCGTCTTCCTGCTCGCCGCGCTCCACGCCTACATCATGGCTCTGGAAATGTTCCTCTGGACCTCACCAGCCGGCCTAAGAGCATTCGCGCTCAAGCCCGACTTTGCCGCCCAAACAAAAGCCATGGCCGCCAACCAGGGCCTCTACAACGGGTTTCTGGCCGCCGGCCTCGCTTGGTCTCTCGTACACCCCAGCGCCGAGTTCGCGCCGCAAATCGCACGGTTTTTCGCGGGTTGCGTGCTGGTGGCTGGTATTTATGGCGGGTTCACGGCGAATAGAAAGATTTTCTTTGTTCAGGGTCTTCCGGGGGCGTTGTGTCTTGCTGCGGTTATCTTCGCGTAGGCGGGTTTGTGGACTTGGAGTTTTGTGGGCGGTCGTGGGGTATTGAGGCTGCGGAGGTCAAGGTCAGAGCAGAGAAGGTTCGGGTGCCATGGCCCGCGTTCGAGGTGCAATCAGGTTTGCAGGGTGAGCGGACTGTTGTATCAAAATCTATATGAGGTTATTCTCGCTGCATCTTTACTGTAGATATAGGTTTTTCTGCGATAGTCACATAGGCCTGCTTGTCTGTCGGACATGCATCAGCTCTGATTGTATTGCACGTGAGATTTCAGGCAACAAGTTCATCCGCAAGTTTGAATACATGTTTCTTGCCAGATCTGTTCATCACACATATGACCTTGCATATAAGTTCTGACACCCACTAAACGCTCTATTCGATGAAGAAATCATACAGATGCTCCAGGACGCTAGGCTGGCGTCAAGAAGCAATCACCAAAGTTACATACTCGGGTGACTCTTATGCTAAAGCACACCTGTCTAGCCAGAGCTTGGCGCGATACGTATATGTGAGACGACGCCCTTGGTAAGCATTAACAACGTACCTTATAATCGCTACTTCGTCGTTCTCGAATTTCCCCAACGATGTGCTACTCGAGATACTCACACATCTCAAACAAATCAGCGACACCACTCAAGACCTCACTCCGTGTTTGCTAGTGAACCGCCGTTGGCAAGAGATCACTACGTCTCTTCTATACGAGAACGTCGCTCTTACGCAGAGTAATCTGATTCGATCTGTGAGCACCTAAATGTAGAGGAACATGCAGCGTGTGTTTTCTCCATCACGACGTCTCTCCAGCCGTACGAAAACCTCGAGCAAGTCTCACTGCTAGTTCCCTTACTCTCTCACTTCTCCAACCTCCGCTCTTTCTCCTCCTGGCTCAGCAAAGGGCACCACGACATAATTCCGTAATCGATTCTAATCCCGCTCGTGGAGGCGTTACCACCGTCCTGCGCGAACCTCGAACTTGATACCTTCGGCTTCGATGCACGTGCGGAAGGAGATGCAACGCACCTCTGCGACTCCCTTCGTGGAGTACTTCCGAGAATGCAGCATGTACGTCTCCGCATGCGAAGCTGTGAGGCACTTCTCACCGATCCCTCGATACCAGACCAAGCTATAAGCCTCCCGCTTCTCAAGTCCTTCATCTACACCTGTACCCGACCTCCCGGCATGCCCTTGCCTACATGCCGCTGTCCAGACCTACGTCCCATAACGCACGACCACCACGACCTCCTCTGGACCACCGTCACCCGTAATCTGCAAAGACTCGTCGCAACCCCCAACGCCGCCCCCACCAACGCGCAAATTTACTCCTTCACAACAACTGATAGAAACGACAACGATCTTTCTCTCTGGCAAGCGCACATCACGGCCGACATGCGTGAACAAACTAGTCTCGCCCTCCCCCACCGCGCCGTCTGGATGGAAGCCCTGACACGCGGCTCGTGTGTGCTGCGGCTCCCCAACGCAGAAATCATGAGCGTGCCGGCGGATATCGAGGCCATTGCTGAAGGCCAGCTGTGGCGCGAAGTGCGCGGGGGTGTGAGACTGCCGGCGGCGGTGTTGACGGATGCACACGCGGGGAGGGCGAGTTTTACAGTTGGATGTGAGGAAAACCCGCTGGCGTATCTGAAGACTAGTGTGCAGTGGAGAGAAGAGAATCAGTGGAAGAAGTTGAGGACGTGGGCCAATGAAGAGAGAATGGAGGTTAGGCTGGTGGGTGCGGAAGTTAGGAAGGGGAAGGACGAGTATCTCTCGTTGGAGATTGTGAGGGAGATCACGCCAGATGGGTGGAGGAGGGTAGGCATGAACGATGTGTTGGAGGAGATTGGAACTTGATGGTTGAGAGTTGCTTTGCTCGCAGTATCTAAGGACCTGGATTACGTTGAAACGAGATCCTGCCTCAGAAACAGTCCGACACAACCTTGCCAAGCTGATGTAGAAAGCTGTGAAGCCAAAGCAGCCCCAGAATGCGGTTTTGAAACGCCCGCTGGACGTAGAATCGGATGTTACCATGAGTTCAGAAACCTCTGTTCGTACGCAGGACAGCACCACTAACAGGTCGAAGAGGGTAGCAACATTCGCGACAGGCAGTGCAACAGCAGCTCACCTGAGGTCATCGACAACAAAGCGCTCACTCACATACATTTTGCGTTTACAACTATTGATTTTAACAAGCTCGAGCTGTTTGTCGTAGGCTAAACCGGCGGCCCCGGATCATTACAAAGAGTCTACAGCCCTAAAGTCACCTACACTGCAGACGTAATTTGCCATTGACGGCTGAGACGTCAACGACCCCGGTCCAACGAGGACTATCTCCAAGTACTCTGGCCTGTACTGCTTCTCGTTGGGCACGGTCCATTACATCGTTGGGAGCCTTGCTGACGAAGTAGGGCTTTCAAGGCGTCCATACTGACGGGGAATGGTAAGTGCCTTTTCCTGCTTCGGTGTCCGAGGTCTCATGCACTCACGCGGATGCGGTTCCAGAGCCCCAGATAGAGGTAGTCAAAGAAGATATGGCAGGAGTGTGGTAGGATTCGGAGGGAGGCTGTGGATGAGCGCGGGCATAGTAGTACCGAGCATAAGAGAGGAGGGACTATGAACGGCAAGGGTGCGCAGTGGGAGATTGGTGAGTCTAGCTATGAAGTTTTCGTTAAGTAGATGAGACCAATGGTTATTAGATTCTGATGCGTACCGGTAAGATTTATATGCTGGCGAAGTGTGAAGTTTTCACCTACCGTTTTGATTCACAGCAGGTAACATTAGTAAGGTAAGTCTGCATTCAGAGCTCGTTCAGCTACGATGTACATTTACTTCGTGTTTCTTCTGCTTCGCTCCCGCAATTAAATCCACAATACTCTACTTCGACCTGACATCAACTGCGAAGCCTGGCTCCTGTACACCCGCTATATTTTACTTCCCAGGCTGTCTCATAATTGTCTTCAAAACAGCTTCAATAAGTCTTCTATAACCCTTGAAATTTTACCTTCTTGGTAGCACCTTGTAACAGTAAATATCTGCTGTCCCATATTCTTGTCCTTTCACTGTATTTGCAACATTATCACTAAAAGGCAAGCAAGACACGACAATATTAGTTTGTCAACTACATCTACAGCCCGGAAGCGAGTACGCAAGACCAACCCAACGTAACAACCGCACACAGCACACGCTTCAAAGCTCAAGCAGCAACACACATATTCTCTAAGTTTTCTTCTATTCCCATCTACAACAGACTATCGATATAATTAAGATTACGCATTACAATTACCCAGAACCCATCCAGTATCACCGATACATAGGAAATCGCGCCTCGTCACACACCGAATTCGATTACAAGCTCACTCTACAGAGCAGCGAAAGCCCAGCCGAAGATACCAACGGCACCAGCGAGGAGAACAGCGGGAGCGTTGGCGACCGCGGCGCCGGTGTACTCGGGCACATTGGGGCTGGTGACTGCGGGAGGAGCTGCAGGAGGAGCCGCGGAAGGGGCGGCAGGAGGAGCCGCGGAAGGAGTCGCAGGAGGAGCAGCAGAAGGAGCAGCAGGAGGAGCAGCAGGAGGAGCAGCAGGAGGAGCAGCAGGAGGAGCAGCAGGAGGAGCAGCAGGAGGAGCAGCAGGAGGAGCAGCAG